CTTTGCCACAAAAGAGAGAGAGAGAGAGAAAAAAAGTCTCCTATTGCACTTTGAAAATTACACTTAGATAATACCATAATATACATAGGAACAAAAAGTTCTGAAGCATTAGCATACCATTAAAAAGTTAGCCAGTACAAGATACGTTAAATTGAATGTACAGTATAACTAATTTGAAATATAATAGATAGTTTAAACAATGTTTAAGAACAGTAGACTCGTAATTTCTACTGGCAGCTCCTCCCATAATTATAGGATGGCTGTAATGGTGGCTCTACAGTAGGTATTCAAAATAGAACGACTCCGTGGAATTTACAGATGGAGGGTCAATACTACCTCAGGCCGACCATGGTTGGAACTGAGGTTCATGTCTGTGGAACCTCTAGATGGCCTAAAATTGCAATTTCAAACTTAAATTTGAACCCAATTTACTACCGTCCAGCGTTATAGAGAGTAAATTTACTAAAAATGGTTTTCATTCTTTCAGTGCATGTTATAACAATTCTTTTAAAATGCTGCTTAAAGTACAGAGATTTATTGTAGTGCAAGCTTTATGTTGTTAAATTTTAATTTGGCTAGTTTCCATATATTTTGAAGGAAATCAATGTATAGTGATATTAATCTGCTTAAATTTGTGGTTAATGAGTATTTAGTTTTCAGATTTTTTAAAAAACAAAAACAGTTATCCCTGGATTTAGAAAGAGGATAAAGCTATGTTTGTGGGTTTATTTTCTAATACTAGATAAAGTAATATTATGGCGATATCAAGATTGTGTTATTTTATTTTTAAAAAATCTTCTGCAACGTCCGCATTACTTACGTTAAGGCGCTACCATTTTATTGATTGATAATACATTTTATTAATACATTTTCTTGTGTCATTGTTTTCAATAAATAAAAGAGTAGTAGGAATAGCAGGGAATAGTATGTTAACCATCGATAAAATCAACTCTGTCACTGATTGAGTTAGTCACCACATGATTTTCATTGTCAGGAGTTGCAGCATCTGTGGCCTTTTTCTTTGTACGAACAGGCATTATAAGTTCATCTTCATCCACGTTAACGACACTAAAACCATATTGTGAAGGTAGTTTTGCCATCGTTGCCTCTTCACAGCCTGACCGAACAGAATCGATACTGTCACTGGTCGTTAGCTTCATCGACTTCATTAGTTTCCCGTCCAATTCATCAGTTCTATCTCCTCCGCTGCCTAGGATACTCTGAACGTCCAGAATGTTGTTGTTAATCTTCCGGAGCGCCCCAACCATGTCGTTTTTAAAGTTCGCTACTGCTTGCACCATTACATTTCCAGTTTCTTCTTCTTTGCTATCGAAATGATATCGTCGGCCAATTTTCGAAAGCAATTTCTGAAAAGGCATGAATATTATATATATAATTAACAAGAATGACAAATAATCGTCTTCTGATTTATATGATAACTTTAGGCTGTAGACGACATCTCAAATTGACGTTGTAATACATCATTGCTATATAACCATGTATGCACACAAATATGTCATGATCAAAGGTAGAATATTCGCAGCGCTGCCAACTTGGCTTATTTAACCTGGCCTAGCTTTTTTATAAAGGGGAATTAGGATATTTTCTTAAAAGATCAATCCATGGGTGTAATAATTAAGAAGGGAGGTTTTCCATCAATCTACTTCGTCATATTTGAATTCTGTATATATTGAATCGTTCTAAAAAATTATTACAATAATTTTCTCTAACAAGAATTTTTTTTAAATGGATAAACCCTGAAAACGTTTACTGACAGCGATAATACCAAAAGATGATCAAACACGGTAAATTAAAGTGTCTCTCTCTCTCTTCAGTTAATTTCGCAGTCAGCGAGTGCGTATCTGTAAGGTGCATAAGCGTACACTGTATCAAGTCATTAACAATGATTATTTTCATTCGACTCATTGGTTCAGTAATATTTTTGTCAACCTCTAGCTTCCATCGGCTGATAAAGGCCTTGTGTAGCAGGGGAAGTGATTTTTCAACTACTTGAGGAAATTTCTTTGCATAGAAAAATTCTATGAATGGCCGCCTAGAAAGGCATTAACTTTACTTGAAGGGGTGTGATTTACTTTATTTGTTATAGGCCCCTATACCGTTCTGAGTGCAAATAAATTAGTTTTCTCGGTTCCATTTATGAATACAAGGTAGCAAAAGAAAACCGCCTGATTTTAACAGGTCGAGAAATAGCGTAAGCCTATGTTAATTAACCTGAATCGAGTTGCGATGTTCGCATCCATTATTTTGTTTTTAATATAAATTATTCTTATATTTTTCAATAATGTTAGGAAATCATAATGTTGGTTTTTTTTTTAAACAAAATGAAAAATGTGGGCTAGAATTTTATCGTGACGTCATTTGATGAGAGAGAACTACTTTAAAGAAGAATCGAAACTAACGAACTGAAAATAATAAAGAATTGCGGCAGTTGATTGTCAGAAGAAATATAGAATGATGATGATACGAATCCCAGTAGACATATGCGGATTTCCATCATTGATATTAATCACACATTCAAGAGATCTCCTGTTTTAGCATATTCCCAAATGGCATCGGTCTCATTGCTTGTCCTTACCATTAGGTTACCTGGATTTAGATATAATTTTCTGAGTCAACTGATCATTCTACTTCTATTTTAGTTTATATGCAAAGAAAATTCAGTTTTATTAGGATAACGTGTAAAGTAGCATAAGTAGGTTTTAAGTGCAAGTACCGGTACGCCATTGCGCTTGACGCTTTATAGTTTGATAACTTGTTTCCTAATCGAGCATGCCAGTTAAGATGAAGATACAAATCAAATTTTGAAATATACTGGCAAGCCTGTCCAGGAAAAAATGAAATTGCATTCAAATGATTCTAATAAGAATCAATTGATATGTTATGTTATGCTATCGAGGTAACACAGACTTTGCTTAAATTATTTTTTTTAAGCAGTGCCGTTTTTACACTAAATTTGTGAAATTTAAATGCATATCAGTGTTATGTGTTACTCACTTAGGCTATCTATTCCCCACCCCCTGAACATTTCTGGATCCGTGACTGAAAGTACTAGTTTACGTAAGGTTTTATCCGTCTTCAATAAAACAAGCGAACAAACAAGTAAAAAAAGTTTGTCTGAAAAGATAGTTACTGAAATATGTTCTTATCTAAATTATGTTAGATAATTTTAGGACCGTAGGTTATTAGCACGCTTCCCTATGGATCAGGAAGATAATGCCTCTCTATACAAACGACTTTTGATCGAAATTTTACTGCAAATTTCCAATTATTGATTTCAGGCTCAGATTACAGATATCTTTTTAGTTGGTCTCTAAAGAGTACACTACTTTTTACGTGTGCTTATGTTGATCTTGATTATTATTATTAGATTTATTAAGCGTTGACTTCACCAGCAGATTTAACTTCACGACATGTAAACCAGACCTCCTGGCTCTGGAAAATAGTTTGCTGCCATGCGGTGTGCAATTAAGAATATCTTAAAGTACATTTTAATTATTATGCATGTATAGAATAGAACTTTTCTAATTAAATGAACTAGTACCGGTAAGTAATTATAGTCAAGTTTTGAGTACACTATAGGAAATAGAAGCCAAAGGAGCCATTATTTCCTGAAAAAAT